TTCTTGTAGTTATGCAAAATGACGTGCAATTGAAATATTTTATCGTATCCTGTATGGTACATCTTTTTTGTCTTGATCCATCAAGATAGAAGTAGGGAAATAAAAAATGGGAGAAAAATCATACATTTTTCTAAGAAAAGCTATGTCATGTGTCAAGAAATGGGAGTGCTACGTTAAATTCCCATGTCTTCTTATATAATACGTAGACAATTAGAACAGAATGAAAATTGATCCAAGGGTTGTAATATAGTATTAGTATATTAAAACTAATCTAATGGTGATGAATTAAATAGTACACTCACTTAATCAAATAATTAAGGTTAAAAAAATTCATTGGGCTCAAGAATAAATGAGCCAGACTTGCTCGGTTTGGCACGAAGAAAGAGAAAAAAAAAACGATATGCAAGAGGCAAGAAAAACCATGTGCAAGAAAAATATTAGAGTTGTGCAACTTGTCCAATTATTAGGAAGCCAAGTGGCAACAAGGGAGGCTAAGAACTAAATCTCCTTTCTTTCTTATATACAAGGTAGATGTGGAAACGCTGCGCCTGTACAGCTGACTTCATTACCTCATCTATTTTATTTTTTACAAAAAAATCATCATGGCAAAAATTTAGAATCACAAAACTTATGCATAACATTTTGGTAAATAAAATTCTCAAATGGAAGTATATGAAAATAAAAAACAACCTATTTTCATTGTCTTTGAATGAAGTTCTGCAAAATCTGATTTTCCAACTTGGCATGCTTTGAGCTTTTCTTCTTCTTTTTTTTTAAATTTTATTTTTCGTGACACAAATGTTCAAGACAACCTTTGCACTACTCCATTTGGATTAGCTGTTTTTGAAATATTTTATTGTAGCAGTGTATAAGAACAATTTTTATTATAAATATTTTTTGAAATATTTGATATATTGTATGGATGATATGTTTTTTGAATTGTTTTTGTTTATATATTACTGTAACATTGTATTTTAAAAACTTTTTTTTTAAAAAAAATAGGCCAATTCAAACGGTAAAAATATTAAAAAATAAAAAGAGTGTATAGGTCAAGTTCTCCTAACTGTCCTTCAAAGTATTGTAGGAAATTAGATGTTATTTTAATCCTTAATGTTTAAAGTGAATCGATTTTGGTCCTTAAAGTTATACACACTTACTATAAGTCTTAAATTACACACCTTCATTCTTTTTTGTATTTTATTTTGCAGAATTTAATTTTATACCAAGGGAGTCCTATTATGTTCTGATTCTCAAGGACCAAAGTACATGGGACTCGGTCTTACCTATGGTACTCATAAGGACTACTTCAATGAATCGAACGACTGGTTTTGATCTTTAAACTAATCCACATATGGACTTCGTTTTGCAAGTTGCAAAAATTTGTAAGTCAATTTTTTGTCACATCATGTTTAAATGGGGAAAAAAAAGGAGGGGCTAAATTCACACCCTTTTATCCTAAATCCATTTCCTGTCTACAACATGACAATTAAGTCCTTATCACTTAATGACTATCACTTATAATTTTTTACGATTCCAAAATTATCATCGAGTATAATAAAAATAATTTGACATAAACCATTCTTTCAATTATTTTTCTAGTTTTTTAAAATTCATTTCACGTTGTTTTTGATGATTTGTACTGGATTAAGTATTTTTAAACAATAATAAATTCATGAAAGGGATCAAGTTAGGTAATAGAGTTAGATATCATGTGCACTTCAAGAGTGTCGCTACACAAATATTTTCATCCTTTCAACATAATACATGTGCATCTTATAAAAGAAACTGGAAAATATAAAAAGACCATCCAATGATCCTTAAATTTGGCATAATATTTAATTATGAACAAAAACCTCAAATGGGGTTACATATAAATGCCGAAATATTAGAAATATTTTACAAGGACCGTGAATGGTATGATTGATTGCTAGATGTGGAGAAAAACAAAAAAAAAAATAAAAAAAAGAGAAAAACAAATTAAAAATATACATTACACATCCTATAAGCACAAGAATTTTCAAGACCCCGAGACTTTAATTGAAAACTTTTAGAAGAAAAAGTTAATGGAAGAAATATTTAAAAGAACAATGCTAAGCAAATTACTTGCTGTGTATGAAAGCGTAAAATTGAAATTGCAAAAGATTAGAAGAAAACTAATGAATGTAAAGGGTCTTAGACCCTGTTCAATAACTCAATTCGATATTTAAATTTAATAGATTCATATCTTAATATGTTCAGACGTGTTTAACGACAAAAAAATTGAATATATGAATTAATTAGATAACACAAATTTTACTTCAAAAAATAAATGATAAACTATTCACTTATCACTTAATGTGATATACACTCAAATGTATCAAATTTAATAGTTAACAATTCAATAATTTAATGGATTCAGATTTCATATTTCAGTTTTCAAACATCAGTTTTATAAAATGCACCCTTAATGTCATATTGATCTTTAGGGTGTGAACATAGGATGTGAAGGTGTGAATTTAGCCCCTCAAAAAATTTAAAAAAACAAAATCACTTGAACACTTCTTCAATCTTCGTGCTTTGCACGATGTTTTCAATATGATTCTTCGCATTTGTGGAAGCACAGCAGCCGCGTTATGGACCTGTGGTTCTGCACTTTGTCATCGAGCAGTAAACGCAACATAATTACTCAAGAATGTCTCGAGTCCTTCCTGAAACACGTACCTTGAAGAATAGAATAGATATGCGCTTGTGAACAAAACCAGAGTAAATTCGGCCTAACCCCTAGTGAGATTTGTAAGGACAATCTTCCAGCTAGAAATTCAGTGGTACCAAAATTTATAAATACAGAACCAAGATATGTTGATTTGACATGCATAGCCAACCCTTTATTATAGCAGAAAATTGTTGGCTGTTGTTGGGCTCCCTCGTTTCAAAACCTAGGTTCAGGCAGCGAGACATTCCCATGTTTTTATGACCAACAACTTTCATCAGCTTCCCTTTGCCTCATCCACAAAAAATTGAACATCGAAGACATAAAGATTGAAGAAAACTAGTCCTAGTATTCTTGAGGATTGTCCGCAAAAATGGGAGATAGAAGACACAAGCATTTTTAATGAGAAAACTAGTACACTAACAAAAAAAAAAAAGAAAAAAAAAACATGGAATGAAAGAAGTAGGTTAGAAGAGGAGTGGAATATTTCTGTTTAATGGATAAGCCTAACCACAATTTTACCTCCAAGAAAAACAAGACCTCCTTTCTCTCTTAATCATACAAAATCCTTTTCATTCAAAGCAGCATGATAGTACCTATCATGAAATTCAGCCAAGGAATATAGTGGTGTTAGTACCAGTATGACCAAAGTACTGGTCCCCCTCCTTTCTACCTTCATCCTTCCTCCAAGGCCATGGACCATCTCTCCATACCCACAAAAAAAAAAAAAAAAGAAAAAAAAGAAAAAAAAAAGAACCAAGGTCCACACTTCCAAATTATTAATTAGCTCTCCCCCACACCTTACCCTCAAATCTATTTATTTAATTCCACCTCCTCTCCTCTTGTCAGACCAAGATTTCACTTGATCTTTTCATATCAATAGTAAAAAGTACTACTACTAGTGCTGCTACTATTCTTCGTCCATCCTATTGCCCTGAAATTTCCATCCAAACTGCATAATTAACAATAATATTCACAAGACAAACGTGGGCTTTGTCGAATATAAACACTAGCTAATGTCTTTTTCAATAATCTTTTTTCTTTTTTTAATTAGCATTATCATCTTTTATATATCATATATATATATATATATATATATATTGGAGTTTAAACAGAAATTCAAATTCAATCTAATTCAAATGGAATCAATTAGCTCGATTGATTTGTTTGCAGTACTATAATTAATCCTCCTCTCGTGTCAGATTGATTTTTTTTATGCCGTAATGATAAAATTCGTATAACTTAATCTAGAAGAAAAGAAAAGAAAACTCAAGATATACAATGAGAGTAGAGGGGGAACGAAGTGTCGCATTGTGTATACAAGTAGGAGTACTTAAATTGAGGAGTGTGTGTTGGTGTTTTTGAATATAGTAATGAATTGATGTCCGTACTCTGACAACGACCACTGAAGGATGGTGGCACATGCCTCCTGTCACATCATTCTTCTCAAATCTACGGCAAGGATTCCCCCGTACGGTTCAATCAACGGCCATCATTCGCCTTTTCCCAACCCCTACACTTTCTCGCTCTGCTTGACAGGCAGACCGAAAAAGAGAAAAGAAAGAGAGAAGAATTTGGGAGAGAGAAAGAGAGAGAGAGAGAGAGAGATACACTTCACTCCACTCCACTCACTCAATCAAATCCATACATAGATAGCAAACAGTTGAATTGAAAGAGGGCTTAGCTGAGCTTAGCTTGCGGTCTGTCTCTCTCTCTCTCCCTTTTCTCTTTCTATGAATTTCACTCTCTCTCTATCTCTTTCATTTTTTTGGCTTTCTCTTTCTTCTGCAATCAGGTCGACCTTGGTCGGTTTGCCTATATAAAAAGTGAGATATTATATCACTCTCGCTTTCTCTCTTTCTCTCTCTCACATCTTTGTTCCTCAGTTTATTTTTTTTCTCTTTAATTTATTGGGTATTAAAAAAGGGTTTCTTTTACTGAAGGTTGCAGCTGAGCTCCAGCTTTTTGGTTTGCTGGGGTTTTATATTTTTCCCTTTTTTTTGTGGAAATTTGGTTGAGGTGGTGATGGAGTGTTTGGAGGAAGAGAGCAAGTGTTCTGAGCTAGGATGATGATGGGCTTATGTGGGTGTGATTAAAGTTTTGATCTTTTATGAAATTGGGGGAGTTTTAGGGTTTGTTGATGAGCTGGAATTCTGGGTTTTTCTGGGATTGGTGAATTTTGGAGGAAGTTGGGGCGAAATGCAAGGGAAATTGAGGAGAAATGCATGTGGAGATTGGAGAGGAAATGGTGGGGGAACGTGGAAAAGAGGGTTTAGGGTTTTGAAAGTTATTTGGATGAAAAGTGGTGGTTTTGTGAGTTGACGGGGTTAAGGAGGTATTTTGTTGCTAATTAGCACTATTAATCTTGTGTACGTAGTTAATAAGGATAACTAATTATTATATTTAAGTAGTGAAGGTGTGGAAAAATTATGAAGCTTTCAACATCAGGGTTGGGTCAGCAGGCTCATGAAGGTATCTATCCTCTATATCATCTTTGCTTTCTTCTATCCCTTTCTGTTTCAATTGTCCCTTTTTAGGCTGGACTTTTTTTTCCTTTTTAATTTTTATTGTTATTTTCTTTAAAGAGGGTCTAGGAGCTTAGCCTTTTAATTGTATTTTCTTTGACTAAAAAGCATAATTATCTATTTTAAATCTTGACAACAACTTTGCCTTACTGAAATATGAAAAGGGGCAGAACTTTTTGCTTGTTAGTTAATACAATAAAAATGACAGCGGTTATTTTGTATAATTCTGGGTTCTGAAAGGGGAGAAGAAGTGTTTGAATTCGGAGCTATGGCATGCTTGTGCTGGTCCTTTGGTGTCCTTACCCACGGTGGGAAGTCGCGTGGTTTACTTTCCTCAGGGCCACAGCGAACAGGTTCTTTATTCCGGTCAATTTACTAAATTTTGTTCTTTCCTCTTAAATGTATATGTGGAAAGTGATGCATGCAAAGTTGGATGGGTTTTATCTTTGAATGAATACTAATGGACCACAATTGGGATTGGAAGTCAGGTTGCTGCCACAACTAATAAAGAAGTTGATGCTCACATACCAAATTATCCGAGCCTGCCGGCCCAATTGATTTGCCAACTCCACAATGTTACAATGCATGTGGGTTACATTCTCTCTATGGTGAATGCCTTTACAAGTTTACTTGTTGGTTTTGAATTGTTCATGTGGTGGAATTTCAGGCAGACGTTGAAACTGATGAAGTATATGCTCAAATGACATTGCAGCCCTTGACTCCGGTATTTTCTTGAGTTTCATGAGGAGTGTTTGACTATCTTAAGGTTGATTATTTTGCATTCATTAAAAAATGATCACTCTTGTACACAGCAAGAACAAAAGGATACATATCTCCCGGTTGAGCTGGGGACTCCAAGCCGGCAACCAACTAATTATTTCTGCAAGACATTGACGGCTAGTGATACAAGTACACATGGGGGATTCTCCGTTCCTCGTCGTGCTGCAGAGAAAGTTTTTCCTCCTCTGGTAATTGTTGTGCTCATTGTGTATTAAATCAGATGCAACTGAGTGCCTGATAAAAGTCTCATTTTCTATTGGGACCTTCAGGATTTCACGCAGACACCACCTGCGCAGGAGCTTATTGCAAGGGATCTCCATGATGTTGAATGGAAGTTTAGGCACATCTTCCGAGGCAAGTTTGGGTTTTTGTTGTTTGGTCTTATGTCCTCAAAGTATCTTAAGCTGTACATCAGTGAAAGTATCTTAAGCATTCATCAAATGTAAGTTTGGGATTTTTGGTTTTTGTTCTGTTAGTTGTTGTAACGAACAACTACAAGTATAGCAGTTATATACAACCGTGAATGCCTCCATTATAACTCAACATGAAATGTGATGGAGGCCAATGAGTGATTAGCACCTAATTTCAGCCGTGTGTTATCAAATTCCAACTGCAATCTGGCATCCGGATCATAACTGGTGATTCAGCTTTTCTATCCTTGTTTTCAATCATTTCAAAACATATCTTTTTATGTTCTCTACCAGTTCTTTCTCTTCATGTTCTCTGACCTTCTAATGTGTAGCATAAAGCATTTTATAGAGTAAAGGCATGTCCATGCCTCTCAATGTTAAGACTCTTCCATGCTTGGGGATTTGAAGACTTTAACATCTCCATTCTTTGAAACAGTAATAGCTCAAGATGAAAACAAAAGACAACAACTACTTGAATGGCCATTGACTTGTGCCTCTTCAGACTTTCGAAATTCTTGGTCTGCTTGTCAAATAGTTTGGGGATTTCTACATTTGTTATGACAGCAATGAACATAAGGCATTTCATCTTAATCGCTAGTTTGAAATTGATTTTGATATATAGATCTTAACCGTCCATGTATTGAAGATGCTATGTGAAATGCCTTGCTGTGTATATTCTATCCTCTGTCTTAGAGCTATAGCTCGATTTTAGGAACAACCATCCTGAACACAAACTTTTACCGTGTCCCTTTTTCCCCCCTTGATTTTGTTTATTGCTCTAATGCAGGGCAACCCAAGAGGCATCTCCTTACTACTGGCTGGAGTGTGTTTGTCAGTGCCAAGAGGCTCGTTGCTGGAGATTCTGTTCTTTTTATTTGGTATGAATTATTTGTTGCAGTCTCTTGAAATGTTGTGCTTGGAAACTCTGAAGCAGCCAGGTGTCTGATTTATTGAGATCTTATGCTGATTTTGAATAAGGAATGAAAAAAATCAGCTCCTGTTGGGAATTCGGCGTGCTACTCGACCTCAAACAGTGATGCCATCATCTGTTCTCTCTAGTGACAGCATGCATATTGGACTGCTTGCTGCTGCTGCTCATGCTGCGGCTACTAATAGCTGTTTCACCATTTTTTACAATCCGAGGTGAGTGCTTGATTTTAATAGTAGATGCTTTCTCTTCCTTTGTTTCTACTGACATGCTCAATACATCAGGGCCAGCCCATCCGAGTTTGTCATACCACTTTCGAAGTATTTTAAAGCTGTTTATCATACCCGTGTTTCTGTTGGGATGCGTTTCCGTATGCTGTTTGAAACCGAAGAATCAAGTGTCCGCAGGTACAGCACTATGGTAACCTCGTTTTGCATTGTGAATATTGTAGTGCTGGAGTGATAGCTAATACTTCATGGAATGATGCATTCTGATACTGTTGCAAAGAAATATGCATATCATGCTTAGTCGTCAATTGTCTTAACTGAAAATATCAGACCTTTGGTTATACCACTTTTGTGCTTGTTAGAATAATTTTGTTTCTGTGAGTTATGGCCTGTATTTCTGCAGTGGCTATCATATGAAACTCTATCTACCTGTCATCCATGGTATTTGAATTCTTCAGGTATATGGGTACAATTACTGGAATTGGTGACTTAGATCCAGTTCGGTGGCCAAATTCCCACTGGCGATCTGTTAAGGTAAATGAGCTTGTAATGTTATCTTTTGAATGTTGTAATCAAATATGAGATTATGGTGTGGGACTATAACTTTATTTGTACAATTTGATGGCTATTGAACACCTCGCATTGGTTATTTATGGAACCATTTTTAGCTTGTATTAGGATCAACCTAGAAGTTGCAGGTCAAATTTTATAAAATGGTTTCAACAATGAGAGGAAACCCCTTGTTTTGAGACCTAAGTGACTTAATTACAAGATAATTGGATGAGAGAATGGGAAGACAATCTGAGTGCTGGGGAAGTAGGCAAGAATGGAGGGTAATGGACCAAAACAGACATCAGAGCGGTTAGCAATTAGATCACTATTATTGGCTCACGGTGACCTAGGCCTGTATTTACAGCTGCAACGCAAAGGGTGGCATGCAGCTTCGCAGTTGGTCGTACATGTTTGGTCTTTGGAATCCTCTGGTGATTAAGCCACAAAACCCGCAAATTGCTCTTCCTGGACACATTCCTATAATGGTGGTGGTGGGGTTGCCTGGGAATGGTATCCTTTAAAAGGCAATATCTTTGTAAACCCAAATTGCAGCCATCCAATTAATTTCGCCTGAAAGTAGCATCTAAAATGGCATGGTAATGTCTTAACAAGATGCTGCTACATGTCTCACTGGATGAAACAAGTTGGTCAGTCAAGAGGACTGGCTTTTTCTGGAAGCTACATCCTCACTATTGACATGATTGGGGAATGGAGGTAGCTCGTTACCAGGGTGAATATAGCTCCTTGTGACTTCTCTGATTGGGGGATGGTATCATGGTTCTCTCTTTAAAGCTGGCTCTAGGCAGGTTTGGTTCTTCTCTGTACCAATGTGGGCTCTGTAGGAGTTATTCCAATACTCCTCATTTTTCCAGCTGCCCCTCATGCCATCTTTATTAACATGGGTCTGACATAGTCTTAGATTGAGATTGTGTCTAGAGAGACTAAAACGAAGATGTACTCTGAAATATTAATTTTGTTTCATTGCTGAAATTTTTATTTAGATTCTATTCCTCTGCAGCATGATGGATGGAGGTGTGAATTATGGAGTCCTGTGTGTGTGAGAATTACATCGTATAATTCTTTTTAGGCTCAAAAATCTGTACTTTCCTAACCTTTTGTGTTGCTACAGCCTTGTACTTTTGCCTGAATTTTGTTGGTTTATGCATTGCCACTAGTTCCAGAAAACTACCTCAGTATTTTATTGCATAAGTGAAAGTTGATATACCTGCTTATCAAAACTTGTTGGGCATTTCCTGTTTCATTTGCCCAAAACTTCCAGGTTGGCTGGGATGAGTCAACAGCTGGTGAGAGGCAGCCAAGAGTCTCACTATGGGAGATTGAGCCTTTGACAACCTTTCCCATGTATCCATCATTATTTCCGCTCAGACTGAAAAGGCCGTGGTACCCAGGAGCCTCATCTTTTCAAGGTGCTAAATGACTTATATGTTACCGCTGTTTCCTTGTTTATTTTGCTTTTCTTTTCTGATAAGGAGTGCATGAGGTCCATCTGTTTTATTTTTTTTTTGAAATTTATTTATGTATGTTTTACGTTGGTAATTGGGCCTATCAATCCATGGGATGAGTCAACAGTTGGTGAGAGGCACCTCAGACTGGCACTTTGCTGGATTTACTTTCCCAAACCCCATAGTTTACCTTTGCTTGTTCCTCTACTTGTTATCCACCCAACTGTTCATTGGCTAGCATTGGGTTTTGGAGATTTTTTTTTTACCTTTGGTATTATTACAGATGCCGGTAATGAAGCTGTTAATGGCATGACATGGTTGAGAGGAGAAACTGGTGAGCAAGGACTCCATTCCTTGAACTTTCCATCAGTTGGTATGCTTCCCTGGATGCAACAGAGGATTGATCCATCAATGCTCCGAAATGATCTCAATCAGCAGTATCAGGCCATGCTGGCTTTGCAAAATTTTGGAAGTGGAGATTTGCTTAAACAGCAAATGGTGCAGTTTCAACCACCTGTCCAATATCTTCAACATACTGGCAGCCATAATACGTTGTTGCAGCATCAGCAAGTAATACAGCAAGGGGTGTCTCCTCACATACTCCCTCCACAAACCCAAATGCTATCAGAAAACCTGAATAGGGCACAGGCGCAACAAGTCAACAATCAATCTGAAGAACAGCAACCACATCATCCATTTCCGGAAGCATATGTGATCCAACATGAACAGCTCCAGCAGAGGCAATCATCAAATATACCATCTCCATCATTTTCTAAAACTGACTTTGCTGATTCAAACACTAAATTTTCAGCATCAATAGCTCCTTCAAGCATGCAAAATGTGCTAGGCTCACTCTGTTCAGAGGGAAGTACTAGTCTTTTGAACTTCTCCAGAACGACTCAGACCATGCTAAATGAGCAGCCACCTCAGCAATCCTGGGTATCTAAATATTCTCATGGACAAGTCAATACTTGTTCGAGTGCTGCGTCACTTCCCCCATATCCTGGAAAAGATGGTCCCAGTGGGCAGGAAGCTTGTGGCTTGGATGCACAGAATCAAGCTCTTTTTGGTGCCAACATTGACTCTGCCGCTCTTTTACTTCCCACTACTGTCTCCAGTGTCGGTACTTCTTCAATTGATGCTGGTGTGTCTTCTATGCCATTAGGGGATTCTGGCTTTCAGAATCCTTTATACGGTTTTGTGCATGACTCTTCCGAGTTGTTGCATGGTACAGGTCAAGATTCACCTACACGAGCCCGCACATTTGTCAAGGTACTAGTTATAGACTATGATGCACATCTTTTTACTTTCATTTCTTCTAGTTGATCACTGACCAAGTATTCTCGTTTGCATATCCAGGTCCACAAGTTGGGGTGTGTTGGGAGGTCATTGGACATCAGCCGGTTCAACAGCTATCATGAGCTGCGACAGGAACTCGGTCAGATGTATGGGATCGAAGGGTTGCTTGAAGACCCTCAAAGATCAGGCTGGCAGCTTGTATTTGTCGACAGGGAGAACGATGTGCTTCTCCTTGGAGACGACCCATGGGAGTGAGTACTTTACAGTCAACACCTTGCCTAGGTTCCTTGATCACTTGCAAACACCCCTCTCAAGAGGAAAACATAATAAAAGGAAAAAGAACCACATGGTACAAAATGGGTCGTGTAGTTATTTTAAGGCTAGGGTCCATCTATATCGCTCATATAGTTTTTGTATTGCTTCATTTTGTTGTTGGACCTTCGATGGTATGGCTTATCCATTCTTCTTGTTTCTGCATGTTTAGCTATTGGTAATTTTGATGTAAGCGGTACTTTGGATTCTTATACGAGATCTGTGCAGGGCATTTGTTAATAATGTCTGGTATATCAAGATCCTGTCTCCAGAGGAAGTGCAGAAGCTGGGAAAGCAAGAGGGTGAATCCTTGAGTCGCATTGCTGCTGAGAGGATGAACAGCAGCAGTGGTGATGGGCGAGACATGGTCGCTAGGTTTCCTTCTTTAGGATCACTAGAATACTGAGAGGGAGTAATCACTAATCACTTGAACAGTCCTAAAAGCTCCAAATGTTTTTGCAGTTTCTGCTTCCTTCCTTTCTATTCATCACACTGTCGTGTTTGTATTTGTAGTGCTCTCTGTATTCTGTTGTAGGAGGTATAATTCTCTTTTAGCCAGCGGGAAGGATCAACAATATGTGATCTGGACCCAGTTGAAAACAAGAAACTTGTGCAGACATCCTAGAGAATGCAGCATTATGTACTGAAAAGAGGAGACAAGAAATGTAGTAGTATTAGAAATATTTTCCCTCTAGCTCTATTGTCTTGCTTTATGACTTTTTTTAAGGTGGGAAATACGAGTCTTATCGTTTGACAACTGAAAGTAAACACCAAACTCAGACAGAGAGTAACGAAAAGGGGAAATCTAAACTGCAGAAAAAAGACAGCATCATTGCCAAAAAAGCATGTGTGTTGTTTTGCCTTTAGCAAACGCATTGATTGTGTTAAATAAACGTGACCTAATCTTGATGTTGAAGTAGAAATGAATGAACATCTGTTATGGGAATTTTGTCAAGATTTGGGGGATGGGGACAAAGGTAATAATAGGCCCAGAGTATTTCCTCATTTTGTGAGGAAATTAGTGGATTATTTTTCAAAAATAAGTTTTTTAAAGGGAAAATTGTTTTTGTAAAATAATTTTGTCGTCCCTTACTTTTAAAAGTATAATTTTATATCCCTTACATATTCAAATCGGACAAATTTAGTCCCTAATTAGGTTTCCAATCATTTTTTGGCCGGAATCCATCATGTGCAAGGCACGTGATCATTTTTGAAGGGTAAATTTGTCAAATTATATATTACATAATATGATCTATAGTCCTCCACATTTTATAAAATAAATTTTTTCGTCTCTCACATTTTATAAAATGATTTTTTTCATCCCTCACATTTCAAAAAATGAAATTTTCATTTCTTACTAATTATGTGTGTGAATACATTTTTTTAAACACATGTATATGTCTATTTGATTTTGCTTAATAATAATAACATAAACACATGTATGTAATTGAGCCCAACTTATGGGCTATCTTCTCTTTTTGTGTGATTATAACTAATATTTATCAATAGAACCTTAATTTGCATATTCTTATTGTATTTTGACCGAAAATAGCTTTATTGGCCAACTTGACAATGAATGCAAGATTATTTACTAGCTAATACCAGATGAAATCAAATGATCACGTATAATTTTATGGTATTCGTATTGTTAAGTGAAATCAAATAGACACATACATATATTTATATTATTCGTATTATTAAACAAAATCAAATAGACATATACATGTGTTTAAACAAAATGTATTCACACACATTTTTTTTTAGGGTTTCCCTTACATACATAATTAGTGAGGGACGAAAAAAAATTTGTCCCGGCAAAAAAATGATCGGAAACCTAGTTAGAGACTAAATTTGTCCGATGTGAATATGTAACGGATATAAAATTACACTTTTAAAAGTGAGGGACGAAAAAAATTATTTTACAAAATGTGAGCGATATTTTGGACGATTTTCTTTTTTTTTTAAATATAATGTTATAGATTGTAATACATAAACAAAATAACTTAAAAAACATCTATTCATATAATATATTAAAAACAACTCATAAATATATACAAAAAATTTTAAAAAAATTCTATAACATTTTCTATCTATCACCACCAACCCCTCCCTCATTCCTACCCACTATTGCCACTACCACCTCCCTTACCCCCACTCACCAACGCCACCACTCCCTTCCTCTTCCTCCTCCCCTCTCCCCCTTCTCTATTTTGCTTTCCTTCCATCCCCAGAAGGTCGCAACCTTTTGGTTGGTTGCGATCTGGCTGCAACCAAATTAAGGGGGAGAGGGGAGGGTGATGGTTGGTGGGGAGGAGGAAAAAGAGGGAGGGGTTGGTGGCGATGATGGTTGGTGGGGGTAGTGTTAGTGGTGGTTGTGGTTATGGGTGGTAGTTTAATTTTTAAAAAGTATTCTAAAAATATTTTAATTTTAAAAGGTATTTAAAAATATATTTTAAAAATTCCTCCAAAAAATCACAAAATCTACCGTAAAAGTTTTCCATGTACATTGTTACAGTAAAATATTTCAAAAATATACCAAAAAACAGTTAATCCAAACAGAGCCATAACACATTAAAAGGAAATAATTAACCATCTCATTAGCCTGTGGGCCGTGGTTTAACCAGTCCCAACCCATTAAGACCTAAAAGGACCTTAAAAACCGGTACCTCATCGCTAGGGGTGAAATCGAGCCGAGTCGAACTCGAGTAGTGACATACTCGAGCTCGAACTCAATGCTGACCTCCAGAGCTCGAGCTCGATCGAGCTCGAGAAATAAAAATCGAACTCGACTCGATAGTAACATAAATAGGCTCGAACTCGACTCGATTGAGCTTGGCGTGCCATTCGAGCTCGAGCTCGAGTTCGAGTACTCGAGTCCTCGAGCTCGATTTCATCCTGCACCCTTAACACGAGCTCAATATTGAGACGAGTACTCGACTCGAGCTCGAGATTTGATCATGCACCCCTACTCGAACTACTCGACGAGCTAAAAATACCTCATCCTAACTAATTGAGATCGACTCGTTTCATATACTCGAGCTACTTGAGCTCGACTCGAGATCGAACAAAATCGATCTCGAATCGAGTAGCTAATCAAGCTACTCGCGTGCTCGATTCAAGCTACTCGATTGGTGTGCACCCCTACTCACCGCCCCCAATAGGCCACAGTCACCCAATTGCCTATCCTAATTAGCCCACCTCGTCCTGCCCCGCTTCGGATGTTTGCGGGTGGGAATACCTCATTTGATTACCCCAACGAAAAGAAAGTTATATAAAGGGGGAAAAAAAGGCATTTTTTTTGGATAGTAGGACTGTAGGAGTATAAGAAATGGAACGGGAGCAGAAAATTCAAACTTGAGCGAGCAGGTTGAGAAAAAGTCCTTTTTGGGTTTCAATTCACAGTTCCCACTGGCGGTGGTGGTGGCGGAAGAAAGATGGTGGGGAGGAAGATGGAATGGGCGGCGAGAGGGAACCACCTAAGAGGGATACCAAGAAAAGCTATTTTCATGGCGGTCGGAGCTTTTGCAAAAGCGGTAGCCAATTTGCTCAACACCACCACCGTCCATAATGCCGAGACCCTCATTCACCTTGTCCGATCCCGCCCTCCTGGCGTCCCTCTCCTCACCGTCAGCAATCACATGTCCACGTCAGTCAGTCAGTCCCCCTCTTCTTCCTCTCTTGATATTTTATTTTTCTCTTCAGTGCACCAAAATATGTTGTGGGTTTTATTTTTCTTCTAGAACCCCTGATGGGTTCTTTCTAGCATATAGTTTCTTGTTGGATCATAATAGAAAGTGGATTGGATTTGCTTCCCTTTCATAGGATCCTGCTACCGGATTTCTGAAAGTATTTTGATATTAGTATGTTTCCCGTTCATATACCAGTTGATTTGATGTGCTATTACGGCCGAAGTTTTTTGCAATATGTTTGTAATTTCCTGTGGATACAACTATGAAGTACCTATTTGTTCTGAGGAAGATAAATGAACCATTTCGCATTGTAAATGCTACAAAATCATTGAAAAAAAAATCTCACTTTTCAGCGTTAAGCTCGTGCAATGATTAATCCATTTTGAGGTTCAGTTTTGCTCTTAACATTTGGCTGGCGTAGACAATGTTGTGGTTGTCTAACACATAAGGAGACTGATATTTTTAATTGTCAGACGTGTATAGAAGGAAGAAAGATAAGGCTCAGGAGTACAATTAGTGTGGTTGATTTGAATTCATTAGTCTGCTTATAAGTTGGTCTCTATATTTTTGTGATTACTGCTACTATTTTGCTGTTTATGAGGATTATGTTATTCTTTTTAATTTCTGCAGGTTGGATGACCCCATCATGTGGGGTTTCAAAGGTTTCCCCATTACTGATGCAAGAATTGGACGCTGGGTACTAGCAGCTGAAGATATATGCTTTAAAAATACGGTGCTGTCATATTTTTTCCGACTTGGTGTGTAATATCTCGATAGTTAGGATAATTTTTCATTTGCATTTTCTTCAATCACCAATTTGTGAAATTGTTCTGGTACCTTAGTCTGTTCTTCTTAAACAGCGAAAGGAACTTTTAAATAGTCCTACTGCAGTAGACATATATCCTGCAGTTTGTGGAAAGACCAGCACTGAAGTCCTTGTTGCAATCATTTCTGCTTTTTTGGGATGTTTGGACTACTTAACGAATGCTTGTTCTTAATAGATAATGATAGCTGATGTCCTTATTTACTGAGCGAAAATTTGGACATGCAAAAGATCTTTTGGAAAATGTGTTAGAAGATACATGTGCTTAATCACTGAGTGCACATCGTACATAATTGTCTGTCATCTCTACTATCTTTGATCACGTTCCTCATCAACCTTCCACAGATATCAAGTTGAATGGCTAAATTGTAATGGTTCAATTGTGCTTTTTAGGCCAAAGAAATTGCATGGCAGCCTGAAGCAGTCCATCTTTAGTGAGCTTGACTTTGTTTAGAAGTGCTTGTAAAAGCAGTCAGGACAAGGTTTTATCTTTGAAAATTGATAGTTACCAAGGCAATGAACTGATTCTAGCTTGCTGAAGCAGCTCAGGTTGCTAGCTTAGCAAACTAAAAAATGAACCAGACTACTGTTTGACTATTCCTTGTTAATGAGCTGAGGTTGTAGTTCTTTCTTATCTGTAATGATCTAACTTGGCTTCATACTCATGGAAAGTTGGTTTCTTTCTCATGGAACATTTGCAGGGAAATGCATACCTATAACAAGAGGAGGAGGAATCTATCAGGAACATATGAATGAAGCTCTTGATCGCTTGAGGGATGGAGCTTGGGTAATTTATGTTATTATACTGTTTTAGTTTCACACTGAGCCTGAATATACTGTAATTGCAGTGTAGATATGACATTTGCTTCTCTCTCTCTCTCTCTCAAATTGTACCCCCTTTTCCCCTTGATTCATATCTCGTGTGCATTCTTGTCCACTTTGCCTTGTGTTGTTCCATTGATTTTACTGTCTGTAGCTTGTCCATCATTGTTATCACAGTGCAATTAGTCTTTATCGGTTCTGTGGGTAAGATAGGCTGACATTTCCTTATGTGAATCAGAGCTTTTGGTCCTCCCTCTTATTTGCGAAGTTACACTAACGTTCCCTGTCAGTTGTTTTTTTTTATTTAAAAAAGAATAAAGAACAGAGGAAAATACTCTTGTTGTCCCCTCTATTACTCCTGCCATTACCTACCAACATGTACAACATTCATTATAGTAATAAGTAATCTAAAAAAACATTTTTTTTGTTGATTTTCCTACTGCACAAGGTTTCTAGACTTGCTCCAATGAGGTGAGCGTAACTATCTTTCACGCCCTCCCTCATTTCTGTTAACTTTGTCAATGGCACGTTTTTTTGATTGCTTATTTGTAAGGTTCTCAAACCATGTAGTGGTCTTCTATCTTTATTAGGTGCTTGATGATGCACATCAAGAATTGTCCTTTCCTCCTAGAATATTTTATGTAGGAGTATTGTTATTTAAGATGAAGTCAATTCTTTCAAGCAAGATTATAGTTTTCAGTGTTCCCAAACTCTCTTCTTTTGTGATGGACAGTTACATACATTTCCAGAAGGCAAAGTGTGTCAAGAAGAAGCACCAATAAGAAGATTAAAATGGGGAACTGCCAGTCTCATTGCTCGTGCTCCTGTAACTCCAATAGTTCTGCCAATTGTTCATCATGGTTTGCAAAAGGTCATTCTTGGTGTTATGAAAATGTTGTTTGAATGTCTTGAATATCTTCCTTTGCCATCTGTGCAATTTAGGTACTAAATAGTGCATTTCATTCTAGAGAATGATGTGAATTGCTCCCATTGACACCTTTAACTCCTTCCTCTCTTGAATTAACCAATTTCTAAGTACAATTGTGTACTATTATATGTAGGAAAGATGTGTGCTTTTGCATGTTCATGCTTACAGGAGCATGTGGTTTGAGTTTTTTGTTTATATGTTGGTCACAAATCATTTTGTTTGATTTTGTTAAATGGTGTATGAGAGATTTAAAAACAGACTTCCAAATACAAACTTGTATATTTGGATGAAAACTTTCTCTTTTACATTATTTGGGTACATGATAGTGGACAATATTATTTGGCTCACTCCTTTTGTGTACTCAAAACAATAGCTGAACTGCTTTATTCTTCTAGAGCTAAGCTTGCTGAACCTAGCCCTACCTTGAAGCTTGTCGGGAATATCTAACTCTTGGAATTCATGGTAGTTGTAGAATTGAGCTTTATCCAAATTACTGTGCTTGTCTTTCCTTGTTGGTTCTAAAATACTCATTCCTTCTGAAAATTTCCAGGTGATGCCTGAAAATTATATGTTTGGAAGAAGACCTCTTTTACCGTTATGGAATAGGAATATCAACACTGTCATTGGTGAGCCAATAGAATTTGACTTGCCTAAGCTGAAGCAGACGGCATTGTATCGGTCTAAGGATTCAAGTCATTCTGGTGCCAGGTGGCCTATTCTGAAACCGTGTGGACTGGATGAGGCAGCACAAAGATGGCTTTACACATCCATATCAGAGCGAATTCGGACTGTGATGGAGAGATTGCAAAGTTTGGGAAAGTTGAAGTGCTGATCTAAAGTTCAAAGAACTGAACTTGACAGTGTGGTTTTGAGTCATGGCGCACTCAACTTCCTATTTTTAAATCTTGTGCATTTTTGGCAGGCTTTTTACACTCCCTCTTGTTTGTCGAAGATTAATGTCTTAGGTCTAGGATGAATTTTTCTGCCCATTGACGATTGGTGTAGATTAACTCTGTAGTTGCGCTTTCAAGTGGAGAGTGTATTAGTGGCAAATTTTGCAGGTTGCCATTTACAGTTTATGCTGGACTTCTATGTGCAGCATCAATATTCTTCCTTGTGCATTCCCAAGGACACGAGTCTTTTATTTTGGGAAAGAGGCAATGGCTTGGATGGGTGAACTTCGATTAAGCCGATTAGAATGAGAACAATTAGAGAATGAGGATGTCTTTTGTCATTCTACCATCGTCCTCATTTCTTCTTCAAGTAAACCTTCATATGTGGAGCACGGGGGGTCAGATTCCGTTTTTGTTGAGTTGATTTTCAGGTGCACAAATAGTTCCTGTAATAGGAAAAAAAGGAATGATTGTGCTGTTTCGCCATGTTTAACATTCTGCTCTTTCGGCTGGTTGCTGCCCAAAAAGAAAAGGAAAAAATCCAACCTAATCAACAATATCAGAAGCGAAAAAAAGGTGAAAAGACCACAATCAAAACCTTGGGTCAAATTCTAACTTGCCGCCCGACATATTTGGTTTTCCTCAATTCCCAGCTTTTTAGAGAAGTTTAATGTTGTTTCCCAAACTTGGAATTTTCTTCATTCGCAGATCGGTATCTCACAGAATAAGATGATACTCATGCGCCGTTTTCTCCTGGATCCAGTTGTGTCCTGTATGTTCTCCATTGATAAAATCTCTCTCATGTGTACAGCGTTTGTAAGCCTGGTCAAACAAAATAGGTCGGTCTGTGTCAGATGATAATCTAATTAAATCCCAGAAAGTGAGTGCTGCCCTGTCTCCATTTTTCAGTCAAATGATGATGAGGAAATGATGGTCCTGACTCTGCAGCATCCTTCTCATCCATCAATGGCAGCACTCCCCAACACCAGCACCAACAGCCGTCTTATTGCCTTCACCACCCCAAAAAATTATGCAGAAAGGCTCTCCCACGTTATCCAACTCAAGGGCTGGTGTCCCATCTGGTGCCCCACTGTCATTGTTGAAACCACCCCACACACCATCTCCTCCATCCAATTCTACCTCTCCAATCCAAATGCCATCAACAATTCCCAGAATCATCCCAACCTCGAACAATTCTCAGGTATAGCTTTCACATCAAGAACTGGAATCAAAGCTTTCTCAGAAGCCTTAACCAACATCCACTCACCCCCACTTGCCCCACATGGTGAAACCTTCACAATTTCAACTCTAGGCAAAGACTCAGAGCTGCTAGATGAATCTTTTATTAATAAACTTTGTGAAAATCCCCGTAGAATTAAGGTCTTGGTTCCTCCAATTTCAACACCAACAAGTCTAGCCGAATCACTGGGATTAGGCCAGGGAAGAAAGGTGTTATGCCCAGTTCCATCTGTACTAGGCCTGGAGGAACCACCTGTTGTGCCTAATTTCCTTGCTCATCTAGCTAGAATGGGATGGACTGCGGTTAGAGTTAACGGTTATGAGACCCGGTGGGCGGGGCCCACGTGTGCTGAGGAGGTAGCGCGGAGGACTGATGAGGAATGTGGGTTGGATGGCCTTGTGTTTACTAGTACTGCAGAGGTTGAAGGGCTTTTGAAGAGCTTGAAAGAGTTGGGGTTGAATTGGGAGATGATGAGGATGAGGTGTCCAAGCATGTTGGTGGCAGCTCATGGTCCAGTTACAGCTTCTGGTGCCGAGAGATTGGGAGTTGGCATAGATGTGGTGAGTTCTAGATTTGATAGTTTTGATGGTGTTGTTGATGCACTTGCTTATAGGTGGAAATCATTGGATTGCTGTTAAGACAATCAAGCATGTAAATTGATTCGAATGTTGTTTATCATATTTAATCCAAAGATATAATTCGACAACCAATAAAAGTTACAAAGATTCTAAAAGTTCTGTTCTGGAAGCTTAGGTCTGATCTAAAGGCTTCAGAGTAGGAGGGCAGTCAATAACGGAGTGTGAGACTTTAAGCAACAAGAAGTTTGGCCACATGTCTTGCTGAAATTGGTAGAAAGGATGCAATAGGTGTGTGAAAGAGATCTAAATGAGGAAAGCTATGCTTATGTGCAACTTCAGAAGATGAGACTGTTTCTTTTCTTTTATTTTTGGCTTTTTAAACTGACAAAAGAGTCGATTTCAACACAAACTAACAATTGTATGTATTGATACACATTTATACTTGCTAAGGATTAGTGACTGTTAAAAACTTTCTTACTGGGATTCTTAATTACATACTCCTATTGGCTGCTCTCTCTTGTTCTTCTTTTCCTTTTGGAGTAGCTCTTGTCAAATACTGGCACCAAATGAACAAATGGTAGCTGAATTGCTAGGAATAGCTATTTTCTTGTTGCTTGATACCATCATTTGTGGGAACTGAGGAAGACCTGGACATTAGCTCAGTTCAATTGCATGGATGATAGCCTCTCATACTCAATCCTGTCTTCCTCCAGTCTCCTATTCCAGGAAACTTTTCAAGAACAGCAACTGGATCGATCACATGTGTCTGTTGTGTTGCAAATGTTTAGTCCTTTCACTGATGCACCAAAATTAAAGCTGTTTAGGCAAGTTGCTTAACCAGTGAAACTCCATTATGTACTGTAATCTGAATAGACTTTATTGATGCTCCAATATCGAAAAGTAACATTTGATTACGTCCAACATTTCTAAGCAAAGGATCCTTCTACTGTGCTCTGCTTTCTTTCTTTTTTTCGTCCTACCTTGGAGGAACATGATTTAGTTTTCAATCAAAATTTACAAGAATTGGTCCATCACTTCCTTGTTATTGGATAAGACCACACGATGGATGCCCTATCGACTTTACTTTTTGTCCAATCATACATGATGAGCATTTGTAACAAACATGCTGGTGTTATGATCCAAGTCTATAAAGTTGCTAACTAACATGCTGTATTAGTTCTGCACATGGTGGAACATACCACTATTTTTACTTGGTTCCCCATGACCCCATCAGGAAACCAAATCAACCATACCCAAAAACTACGAGACCCCATCAAATTAATTTGCCATGTTAGTGATTTCAATCATCACAAAACCAGTAATAAACTCATGAAAGTTTTGCTACATTAGTTTTATATATGAGAAAGACCTTTGCTTCTTTCATGATTACAGTAATTTTGCGTCCCTTGTGTTTGTCATTTTCATTCTTCTGTAACGTCCGACCTTTTTTGTAAGGTACCAATAAGGTAATGCCAATTCTTGCTTTCTTTTGAAGAAGGGAGGGTTGTGTAATATGTATGTATTGGAGAGAACAAGAAAAAGCTCTGAACTCAGGAAAAAGTAGTTGGTAAAAATTTCCAGCAAGTACCAATTTGGATTGAGAATTATTATGTACTATTACATTTCTTCGTCTGAACAACTAGTTAAAAAAAGAATCTGTTTGTCCGGATGATTTGCACTTTACTTCCATCATGTTCTGTCCCTAATCAAGAGACCATTCCCTGTGGTTTTTGACCTTCTCTCTGATTTCAGGCGATCTCATTCCAAACATTCATACACTCCTGATTTTGGAACTTCACATTTGCCCTCTCGATCATTATGGGAAGAGAAAATTACGGAAATGAAATGATTGGTTTATTTGCCTCTCTCTTTATCCTCCATCCATGATACAGATGTCTACATGGAGATTTTGAGTTCATTTTACATTCCCTTTCAAAACATTAAGAAGATATTTTCTTCTATACGAGGAGGAATTCGAGGAAGAGTTTTTGAGCTTCCTATAACCAGAAAGTTGTTAAATTGGCCTATGTGATGATGAAGGCCTGCTAGAATGGACCCAACCACTGAAGATCAGGAAATATGCTGGATACCAAACAACTCAAACGAACAAGAAGGCATTGGCCCTCAAAATGAGACTCCACTGAAATTATATATGTACAGAAACCAAAAAAAAGGGAAAAATAATGAAAGTGAAATGTATCAATTGACCATTTATCTGTGTTTGGTGTGAAGGCAGATAGAATATGCATCAAAGTTCCTATTGCCACCAACTTTTTTATCAATTTTGACCGCTTCTGATGAGATGAGAAAGATACAACAACGCGGGGGGCTGCCAAGAACGATTCAATAATGGGTTTAGCGTTTATAGAATACAAAATGGGTTGTTTTTGTCTTGAGCTTATTATAAGGGGCCACAATTTAAGGAGTAATAGAACCAAATTGGCAATTACAACTCGACACCGTTAGCAAGTAATCCAAAAATAATCAGAAGAATACTAATGCGCTAAATAAAAGGAAAAACACATGCAGAGATTACAGTTCCTAGGATCTTTAACCTTGATCACTAAAACCATTAGGTCAGCTCAATGACTAAAGGAGGATTTTTAGAATTTTTTTTTTTTTTACTGTTAGATTCAGGGTTTGAATTATAATCGTCAAGGATTGGAAGGGCTTTCAAATTCAGAACTCAGAATCCTAACAATTAGGAGTAAGAAGGGTGTGGAGAGGGATGGAAGAGTTTTTTTTTTTTTTATATAAAAACACACATTGATCACTAGTTCAAATCTTCATCAACAACGTCATTTGGCACATTGATTTTAAAATTTTTCTCTGCAATAAATTAATGTGAGCAGGCTTGGTATAAAAGCAATTGATTTGTCCTGATATTCATGTATACAAGTAAACAATGCAGGCTCACCGGTCGAAAAGGATTATTAACAAAAAAAAAAAAAAGAAGAAGAAGAAGAAGATACTCTGGCCCTACAGGTAGCAAGCAAGCAATTAGTAGTGTCAATTTGGTATTTAAAAGTAAAAAGAAAAGAAAAATCCAACTCCTGAGTGTTTACTCTTGAACAGGTAGTACGCTCAACTTTTTCATGTGTGCCATAAATACAAAATCCTCTCCACTTTTTAGTTGTTGGTTGTTTTGGAAAGAGCCAACTTTCCAGCATTGAGTAAATGATTCACGAATGGAGACTCAGTAGCAGCAGCACCATTGCAGTAATGGGAATGGTAGTGGTCATTGTACACTTCTCGTGAGTTTATTTATTGCAAAATCATCTCCGCTTTCGTTTCTCCAGTCCACTCCACCTGGGTGAAATTTTATGCAGAATTCAAGCCGGCTGGCCGGCATCTGACTGACAATAATGTATATGAAGTCATCAAGTCTATATCTATTTATCTTTTTTTTTTTTTTTAAACTGATTCATTCTTCGAGAGAATGTAACTTCTTTTTTGTATGGTTTCCCGAATCAAACAAGTGTTTAAATGCAAATTAAATAAATGTAGCCACCATCCTTTGGTTTTCTCGGACACAAAATTGCTTTAATCAAAACACTTAATGATGCATGCAATACCACCCCCAAATAGATTGAAACTGCAAAACAATTAAGTGAAATCAAAACTGCGAACCAATTTGATTTATGACCGGCATCTTTCTTCCCTCCATTGAATGTCAAGTGGGAATTTGCCCGCCCACAATAGGACCCTGAAATTAATTTGAGACTGAAAATACCTTAGGGTATCTTCAGATTCACCTTTGGGACTAACCACAGAAAAGGTTAGGGTACGTTATATTGTACTACTTCCAGCCTGCATCAGTTCTCCTGCTGACAGATAGTACTTTTAAGGTAAAAATTGGAAAGCATAAAGACACCAATAACTACAATATCATACCATATTGATACACTTGGGTTATAATCAGTTATCATCTGTGTCTTTTTTTTTTCCTGACGCAGTGGGTATTCGGAATTCGACGGATTATATTACCGGACTCGACTATTCCCACTCCGCTTATGCCCCCTACCCCCTAAAAGATACAAGACGATAGGAGGGATTGAACCGCAACCACACGGTGCCAGGATTTAAGGAGGCACCCCCAACACCAGCCGAACCAACCCCGGGAGTAGTTATATGTGTCTCACTATTCAAGCATATGAAATATATCTAAATATAGTATAGATACTCTGGTAGGTCCTGCAGACAAAATTTTTCAAGAATTAAATTCCCGCGCGATGAGCTACCTTGAAGAAATTGAAATTTGATCTTTTCTTTTCTTTCCTGAGAGACAGACGTATATTCGAAGCAAGCTGCATTAAAGACTGGAAAATGGTTTTTATGTTCGAAGTCTGTCAATCAATGAGTCCATGTGATGTGCGGCCATGGCAAATGAAGCTTCTATTAGCCTTTGAACACGGATTGGCTTCACTGTTTATGCTCTAATCATGAAGATAGATGCAAATATCTCTTGTTAACAGACTCAATCCACAGTTAGCTTTAAAGTTTCTTAACTAATACTACTAGTAGTTTATTGGATTTTATGGTATCAGCAGAGACAACCCTTTTCTTCTTTGACATAATGGAGCATGATAAAAAAGTTGGTCCCTGAATTCTACCTATTTTTCCTCATGAAGTGACACAAGAAGTTTGAGGATAAAAACACAACAGTCTAGTATCACATGCAATTATGAAAATGGTCATGGAGTGAAAGTACAGAAAAGTTTTTTTTTTTTTTTTTGTTTGTGAGATGAATACAAGTTGAATAATAATTTCCAACTGCACATTAGATTTAGAAATGAATTTTCTCTAGTCAAATACAAAATTCCCATTCAGTCCCAAAAAGTTGAATACTACTACTGGATTGATTCTGAAAACATTTTTACTAGCGTGCGAGTACAAGCAAACAAAACAAAGCTCATCCTTCCTTATTGTCCACTCTAAAGTCCAACCCCCCTCCCTCTCTCTCCCAATAGGAGAAAAAAAAAAAAACTATAAAGAAATAATTTAGAATAAGTACAAAGGAGCAATAGTACAGTTTTGATGTATATTTTGGGGCATTCCCAAAAAGTGCTTGATATTGTTTAAAAAAGTTCTCGTGACCTTCACATCTTCTTTCTCCCTCCTTCACTCCACTCCTCTCTCTCTCTCTCTCTCTCTCTCTCTCCGGCTGGTACAATACTAAGTAGAGAGACGAAGAAGAAGAAGAAAGATCCCTATTTTTTCCTCTTTGGTTTACTTAAGGTTGTACCAAAATCAAACATCATCAAAACCTACATTTTCTCCCTCCTAAGATTTCCATCAACCTAACCGTCTCATCAGCTTCTCCCTGATACTAAGTACTTACTGCTCCTATATTTCTTTTTCTTTTTTTATGGCACTCAATCCCATATTTTTTTAATATGTAGCTTGGAATTTTAAATTGTCTAATGTTTTCTGACTGAATCATGGTTTTTTTGATCTGCCCATTTTAGCATCCCAATGTTATAAGCTACTAATTTCCAAGGTGAATGTTTCTGGGTTCAATGCTACTGTGATTTTTAGTCCCACTAGTTTCCTTCTGGTAATTCTGTTCCCTGGTTCAGTTTGGATCTCTGGAGTTCGATGTTATCGAGAATTGATTCTTTCGGGGTTCAAAAGTTTTCCCAAATTGATGCCATTGCTTTCTTCACTATAGGGATTTGCTTTGCTTCCGTTTTGTTCTTTTTTGAAGCTCTGATTTGCTGTTTCTTATTCTACTTATATCCTTTCGTTTTTTGATATGAAGTTATCAGTGCTTAAGAGTTCTGCAACTTACTTTGGAGTTTGGTTTTGATGTTGACGATATGCATTGCAGGGTACTTATTTGGAATAATTAGCAATGGTTTTTACTCATGTAACTGGTCTGAAATTGCTGACTTTTTCCTAATCTTTCCGATCTAAAATTGGTACATATTAACTTCTTCCTACACTACATTAAATCCCTTTTCCGTCTTTTTTCTAAATTCTGAATTGAAATGAGCTTTGGCAATTTTTTCCAGGTAATGGAACTGTTTTGAAGACAAACAAGAGTCGAATTCTGAAAGGGCAAAAAGAAAATAGAAAGATCAAAATTAAGGAGCAACTGTTCAAAAAGAAGGAAGAAAGTAAAAAGGGGGATGTTTGGGAATAGCTATTTGATTGGGGTAGAATGCTATTAATGCCAAAATTTGGTTTTTGAGGTTCTAGAATGTCATGACTTCTGATATGCAGCCAGTGATGTCCCAAAGCATGAGATCGAGCCGGTCTTCATTTGGCTCCAGCAATGGATTTGAAACCCCTTCTCACCACTCCTTTGGTGCCTCCAATGGGGATGAGTATGACAGTGATGGTTCTAATTTTGCACCACCGTATGTTTCTAGCTTCTCTTCTTTCCATCTCTTTCTCCCTTCCCAGTTTTGCTTCTTCTAGTCAATTTATGCTTTCGAACAACTATACTGGCACGTGCCTCTTCAATTAACATGGTCAAGACGTGGATATTTGTACTGATTCTGGTATCTTTCAGCTTAGCACTAGTGTGCTTGCTGAAGATAATAGGTGACTAGGACTAATCTTGTGTTTCTTGGTTTCCACAGTACCCCAACAGCTCTGTCTGCGGCTCTTCCACCTGAACTGTCTGCTGCTATACCCTTGATTGACAAATTCCAAGTGAGAATTTATCTTCCCCTTTAGTCATTGTGCATGAAATGATTGATATGATATATCACTCTGTCATCATATGTGACTGGTGATTTATTTATACCTAACTTTTGACTTCTTTACTTTATTTTACTTGGTCAGGTCGAAGTGTTTTTGAGAGCAATGAACAAGCAGATTCAGTCTGCAGGAAAGCGAGGTTTCTTTTCTAAAAGATCAGCGGGGTCTCAAGTTCGAGAAAAGTTCACATTTGAGGACATGCTCTGCTTTCAGAAGGTAATGATATGCTGTTTTGAAGGCACAAATAGAGCAGTTTGGAGATTTACTGATGTATGGTTGCAACCTTTTGCAGGATCCTATTCCGACCTCACTGCTGAGAATAAATGGTGATATGGTCGGTAGGGCAACTAAGTTGTTCCAGATTATATTGAAGTATATGGGAGTTGATTCTTCGGATCGAGTGACTCCAGTAAGTTTAGATGAACGAATTGAACTTGTTGGTAAACTATATAAGCAGGCTTTGAAGCGTTCTGAGCTTCGAGATGAACTTTTTGCACAAATTTCGAAGCAGA